GGGGCTCCAGCAGCAGCCAGCAACCCTGGCAGAGGCTGTCTGTGATCCTGTCTAGAAGGGAGGACGGGGCCCTAACTTGTCGGCCCCCGCTGAAGCCCGGACTGTGCAGGCAGGAGGCACGGGGGCTCTGCAGCTTCTGGAGGCCTGCATCCCTGGCACCCTCTCTGAACCTGAAGTCCACAGCGAGTGGGAGCCCCTCTGTTCCTGGGGGAGCAGATTCTCCGCCCAGTCAGAGCCTCCGGGTGAGTTTGAGAGCAGCAGGCTTCCTGGCTGGGTGGAAGGCGTGGTTTTGGCCCTCCTCTGGACAAGGCCCAGGTTCTCTGGTGTGAATCTGCTCTTGTTCTTATTTGTCAAGCCAAGGAGTCACCAGGCAGGTCTGCAGAGCTACCAAGGTGAAGCTGGTGGAGGGAAGCAGCCTGTGTTCTGTGTCCGGGAGAGCTGCGCTGGCCTGAGTTCTGGTGGTTCTGGGTTGGTTCTGGTTGGTGCTGGGTTCTGCACAGGGCAGTCCCAGAGACTGGCAGGCCCATCTGCTTTCCACAGTACTGGAACTGTGTCTAGGCATGGCTGCGGGGCCTGCCCAGGAGGCCTGGTTTTGAACCCTGCCCCCTCACAAGTACCCCTTGGCATTACAGTTCCAAAGTGCAATCAACGGCAAAAGCAGACAATCGCTTTTTTCTTTCACAATGACCTCACTCTGCTGGGGAAGTCCTGCCAGGCAGGGCAGATGGCAGTCTCATGACCTCTCTCTAGGCCCCTTGGGTGGGACAGAAGGCAGGACCAGGAGGATGCTATGGGGGACTGTCCAGTGCTTTTATTCCCACCTCACGGGTGAGAATTCTGTGCCCTGGAAGTCCATGCCAGGTTGGTCTGGCTCTCAGGCAGTCCAGCGGCCTTCCTGACTCTGAGAAGTATGAGAAGACCAAGCTGAACTGTCACTCTCAGGGCAGCGAGAAACAGTCTTCATTAAAATGTTCCCAAGTCCCTTCCCCTGCCGCCTCTGAGCCTGCTAAACGAGGAAGACAAGATCTACCAGCTTCCGCTGTTGTAGGACCACTGTTCGAAAGGCATCCATCTTTGAAGGTCTAGGGATCCGTCCCTAACGGCTCCCAAGGGCTGATCCGCTCTCCAGCTGGGAGCCATGCCAGCCAAGGCCAGCATTCTGTCCCTTCACTGTAGCTGCAGCAGTGGCATTGGTGAGTCGAATCAGATGGAAAGGGAGTTCATGCCCCCAAGAGCCCCTGAGAACTGCCCCCCAGCTCCCCTGCCTGCGGCCTGAGGCTCCCAAGCCCTTCTTCTGCACTGAGCAGGGGGGTGAGTTCTCTCTTGGAATAGTGCTGTCACTGGCTGGGACATTTTGCTTCCCCTGAAGTATGTGTGCTGCCGCACTGTGCAGTGTGGGCCAGCCAACATGGCCCTCTTATCTGGAATTGCGTGCTACAGTGGCCTGACCTCAGGAGGGTCCTTGACTTCCACGGTGGTGGTGTGGTTGGGTGCTCTTGGGTACCAGCAAAGTTTAGCCATCTTCCTCCTGTTCTCTAGGCCTAAGGGGTGTGTGTCCCCAGATGATGACACCTCCATCCACCAGATGAGGCTGCAAAGCTCTCACTCCGAGTCATTCTGGTGTGGCTTGTCCCACAGGTATTAGGGAACACTTAGTATGTGCTTGCCTTGAGGAGAGCAAGGGCCACTGCTGCCCTGTCCCCACCCAGCTGCAGCCTGGGTGTCATGGCCACTTGCAAGTCCTTACCAAGTCCTGCCTGGCACACAGTGCACCAGTCGTATCCACAGACTGGAATCGTCCTGCTGGTCCCACGGTTGGCCCAAACGGGCCTGCTCCCTTTCCCCCTCACATAGACTTCGGATAGTATTGAGGAAGTCATATCAGAGGAGGCTCCTGGGGTGTGGCCCAATGATGGTGGTTAAGTGATGTGCCCACAAACCCAGAACCTCCAAGGGACACTCTGGAGGGCTAAGGAGAACAGAAACAGGACCAGAACAGGTAGCTTTTCCCTTCTGCTCATTTCTCTTGCTGTAACTCGCCAAGGTCGACCATGTATTGGACACTGTGCCGAACCTCCTAGGTCATTGCCTGCTCAGTCACATGATCACTCCCGAAGTGCCCCGGTTTGTGGATCCATTCACTGGGGTTTAGAGAGCTCGGGGACTTGTTTCTCTGCTACACTTTGAGGTACCCGCAGTACGCCCTGGGCCTTTCACCTTAGTACCTGTGGACAATGTTAGGCAAAGGTGTGCTCAGTCATGCAGCGCGGTCTCAGAGCCAGGTGACCCTGCGGATCGCCTGCCGCTGCCCAGCAGGTGTTCTTGAACAAACAGGCTCTTGGGATCACTGGGGAGGCCGTTGCTGGGCTGGCACTTGGAGTACAGAGACGGAGGGCATGCAGCCACTGCCCTCAGGAGAGCCCATCTGGTGGGGAGACCCGTGGGCCCAAAGCGCGGAAACACAGTGAGGTAAGTGTAGACTCGGACCAGGGGAGTGCAGGGAAGGGACAGCCAGCGCTCCTGGCGGGAAGCCAAAGCGGTGCCACAAGCAGGGTGCTGGCGGCCGAGCGGACTGTGAGGTGTGGGCAAGACAAGCAAGGGGTGTCTGTCAGGAAGGGCGGGCTCATCTCACGGGTTCGGCAGCCTCACTTCAGAGGAGGTGGACCCACCAGATGCTGTCTTGGCCTTGTGCGTCAAGTCCCTTACTCAGGCCATTTTCTGCCATGGCCAGATACCAGGGGACTCTACAGTCCACAGTCACGGAGACTGGAAGTCCCACGGCTCTATCGGCTGAGCCGTTCTTGCTGCATCGATGGCACCTCCGGGCATCACTGTCAGCAGGTGCGTAGCCCAGGTCTCTCTTCTTGGCCACAGTGGCCCCACCCCGCGACCTCAGCACCTAATTACCCCCTAGAGGCCCCAGCTCCACATTCATTAACATGAATTTGGGGATTGTTCCCCACACAGGAACTTTGGGGGACCCAGTTAAATAAACCACAGCAGCGTCCCTCTGTCACCAGGCAGCCGTGGGAATGATGGAGCCCTCAGAAGCCCCGAGAAGCCTGCAGAAGAGCGGGCACAGGGACGGGGGATGCCCAGGTGTAGAGGGAGCCATTGGCACGCTGTCGCTGGATGGGCTTCCACGAGGCCCTCCCTGGGGACTCCAAGCTGCTTGGACGTCAGTTTACTTCAAGATTTATTTTTGTCATGGCCCGAGCAACGTCGTCCACCACGTACCTGGAGGAATTGTTAATTTGCTTTTTGAAAAAAGTGGTCACGCCTAAGCTTTTAGAGAAAGATACCCCACTGGGTCATTCTTTCCTTGAACCACATTATACCCTAAGTAGAATATTAAGTCGAAGTAGCACCATGCAAAGCTGTGGGCACAGCTAATACCAGATCTTTCGATAGAGTCTGGAAATTCATTTATCCACATGCTATTTTTAGGAATTATAACTAGGGGATGATTTTTAAAAACTGTCTTTACATCTTCAAAACAAGAAACAAAACCAACACCATGAAAGAACCAAACAGGAAGCGAGTAGGAAAGGCAGATATAAAATGAGTGGGATTCTGCCAAAACCATCCATCTGTTGAGTGGTGTGTTGATGGGTGGACTGAAGGCTTCTTCCAAGCTGGTTGGCAGAGGCCAGGGCCAGTGGTTCCGCAGGGCCAGGGCTGCACGGGACCTGATCGGATCCCAGTCAGCCTTTGTCCTAACTCAGTGGAAAGGAACTGGGAGGACGGAGAGGCCACCAAAGCTGGGTGCCTAGTGCTCTGGCTCAGTTGTCTCCACCCCAGGACACTGAGGTCCCAACGCCCAGGGCCTGCAAATGTGGCCTGGTGTGGAGGTGTAGGGGCTTGTGGATGCTCAAGTCATCAGGGTGGCCCTGATCCAGTGTGACTGGCCCCTTCCCAGGGAAAGGACATTATTTAGGACTGGGCTTTACCTTATGGAACTTTTCCACATGATGCTCATTACAAAATTAGCTTTTTGTCAACACTTTCTGGTTTAATTAGAGGAAAGAAAGAGGTATTGGGACTGAGATCTGATGAGTCCATCAGTGTGTTATTAGCTCAGTGGGTCAAGTAATATCACAGCTGTGTGGGTGACACCCTGGTGACTGGCAGCAGGAATCTGACTCAATCCAAGGAGGGTGATAAGAAAGGACACTGGGCTTTTAAGTCTTTAAACAGCGTGATGCAGCTGTGCTGTCCCGTGCCTTGTTTATTTTGAGTAACACGCTGCTTCTGTATCTTAAGTGTGTGTGTGTGTGTGTGTGTAGGCAATGCATATCTATCTATCTATCTATCTATCTATCTATCTATCTATCTATTCTTCTATTAGGAATCTGAGACCCTTAGTATAATAAATGACTTCACATTTTAATTAGGGAACTTAATGCTCTAGGTTTCAAACAGGTCCACTAACGAAACAGCACATTTAAGAATAACCATGTTGGACTGAATTGTATGGGTGGTTGCGTGGTTTAAGCAAGTTGCCTTAGTTGTTGATGGTTTATAAATATATTAATTGTGTCAAGGAGCCCGTTTGTTTTTGGAAGTATTAGGTTTCACTTGTGACTTGAGTTACAGTTTTCAAATTAGCTGTAAGTTTGACTTTGGTGTCTTATAACTTCATCAGATGATTCAGAGCAGGGCGGGAGTTCCCAGGAGCTAAGAAAGACAAGCGTCAGGGTGTAGAAAGAAACCTCAGGACTCCTCTTTGTTTCTTGTTGGATAGGATTAACGTTTTAAAATACATTTTGAGGTTATAAAAAAACATAAATTTTAAATATAGGATTTGCATGCTAGTTGTACATTTTTAGTTTTCTCAAGCAATCAAACATTTGAAGATGAGTGTGTTAGCCTTTTCATCTCAATATGTTGGAAATAGAAGTTAAATAACACTAATTTGAAGTAAGGGGGAAATGAATTCCATTAAAACAAAAGGGAAGACTAATGGCAAAAGGTGTTTTTGCTATTTTCCACTATTTTACCTTATCTCAGGCCGAGATGGCAGATGGGACATCTTCACACTTCCCGAGCCTTCCCTTGTCCATGCCACTGCGGCCCAGGTAGAGCAGGGATTCTAGATACAGTAGTCTCGCTTCCCAGGTGGATTTTGTTTGTTTGTTGTTCTACTTAGGTACAGGTGACAGTAGAGTGCACTTCGCACATCATACTAAATGGAACGTAACTTCTCACTCTTCCTGTTGTACGTGATATAGAATCACCAGGTCGTGTAGTCCTATAAGGGTAATAAAGTCCTATTCATTCTGCTGTCCTTCCTGCCCCCAGACCCCTGGGCTCCCTTCACTCCCTGGCCTAATCCACAGGACCTGGGTTCTTCCTGGATGCCCCACCCCCCACTGTGAATCAGCATCCGCGGGTCAGAGAAGACAACCCGCCTTTGGTCTTTGGGACTGGCTTATTTTGCTCAGCATGTTACTCCCCAGTTGGTTTTGAAGAAGAAACTAGAAATGCTTGGGGGTCCCAGTGTCCCATCGCACTGTTTGTCACACCTGCCCCACGCTCTCCACCTCAGGGAGGGCTGGGGGCAGCTGCTGGCCGCCGCATTCCCATGGCCCCCTTGGGAGGAAGGATGCCGCCCTGAGATCCGCTAACCCGCCCTGGGGCCTGGCGTCCTGGCTTCCTCTGTGCTCACCTAGCCACCTGGTGACGTGTCGCCTGACCTGGGCTTTGTTAGTAAAACAGGGGGAATGAATTCTAGCTTGCTATGAAAACATCAGGTTCGATGGCTGCTGCCCGCCCTGAGCGGGACATCACACTGACAGACGGTGCGGAGCCAGAGCCTGCTTGACCGGCAGTCTGACCGGCAGCCTGACCGCCTGGAATGGGCGCAGAGGAGGTGATGGGTGGGGTGGGTCCTGAGGGCTGTGGGGAGCTGGGTCTGGGGGTCTCAGAGCTGTGCTCCTGCATTTGAAGGACACTCTGGGAGCAGGACTGCAGCATTCTCACAACCCTAGGAAGAAGGACTCGGGCGTCTGCAGAGAGCTATGCTCAAGGTCTCTGTGTAGGAACCTTCCCGAATGCAGCAGGAGGCTCGGAACACAGCAGCTTCCTCCTCTGGATTCTGCCCAGATAGGGCCTAACCAGTTTGCAGAAGGATTCCCAGGGATTTCTTCAGTCCACCCATCAGCATGGAGGAGTTCTTGCCACAGCCTTTAAGTCTTCTTCCAGCCTTAAGAATCTGTGAGAACCGTCATAGGCCAGAGAGGGCTGCCTCTGTCGAGAACAGTCTTTGAGGGCATCCTGAGGAGCTGGCCCTGAGCATTTAACAAAGGAATACCAGATTTGTCTCAGGTATGTAGAGTAGAAAAAAGGAAGGCCAGATAGATGGGCAGATGGAGCCGTAAATGTTTTCCTTCTGCATGAGTGGATGGGCAGAGGGACGAACATAAACAAGTTCTGTTGAAAATATAGGATTAAAACCTTTTGGCAAGAAAAATAGTGTTTTGGACTGACCAGATGGTTAGGCAACACAGGTGGCTAGGTCCCACTGTGGTCCCATTTTGCTGGTGATGGTCACGGTCATGGGCAAAGACCATTTAGCCCAATTCACCCCTTCTCCCCATTCTGGTCCTGTTTCCCCAGGGGATGCTCAGGTAATCAATCTTCCCATGACCCTAGACTGAGCCTTGGGACTTTCTGTTCTAAAATTGGGATGCTCTCTGACAAGCTGGGTGAGGTTTCTCACACCAAGTGCAGATCCCTAGGCCCAAACCCATCTCCAGAACCAGAGAGAGCTCTGTGCATTCTCTGACTGGTGGGTGATCTCAAGGCAAGGCCTGCAGATACTATGGTAACCCAGACGCCCAGATTTCAGTGTCTACTGCCCTGCCCTCTGTCCTGGGAGTCCACCACTGCCCGTTTCTCAAGGAGCATCTTTGGACAGACTCTGATATGATGCTTTGGCTGCAGGCTCCGAGCAACACTGAGGCTGAGCGTCTGTGTTTTATAAACTTGACCCTCGTGTGTGTTGCTTCCGACAGTTATTTACTGATGGAAAGAAGTAAGTCGTAAAAATTCAACAGTAGAGAAAAAGTGAAGGCTAATATTGCTGTCCACACATTGTGTTTGAAGGTCATTTTCAAACTGTACACATAATCGGGCAGGTGGAGGCCTGTCTGGATTAGGGATCTCCTGTGGGCACGTGAAGGTGGAGAATCCCTTTCATGTAATTTGCATCAGAGTAATGTGTGCGTGTGATGCTTAAGGTCATTTTCGTGGCATTACAGGCAGGTATTGCCACACTGAGAGAATACAGTGGTGCCCCTGGCAGACTTGCAGGTGTGCAATGCCAGGTCTGGGGGTATCTTACTAATGGGCCTAGTAGCTTGCTCTGCTGAGGTCCCACTGCATTGCCTTTATACACTGTCTCTTAGTTTCCCTCGAGCTCCAGAGAGATGCACGTGCCTTTCCTGGGCTTCCCAGCTGGCGCCCTTGCAGTGTCTACCCTGGCTGACCAGTGTGAACTCTGAGGGCAGTGATGTTTGCTTAGGGGACAGCACGCTTGCCCTGGCAGGAGACAAGGGCTCTCTAAGTGGGTGAATGAATGGACAGAAGATCGCTTGGAGTCTGGTGTGAGTCCCTGGGCCACTCGAGCCTCCCAGCGTCCTTCCTCGTACTTTCATTTGGCCTGCAGGGGGCGCTGATTGGAAGACCTGGAGGAGCTCATCGTCTTTCGAGCTTTCAGGTCATAATGATTTAATGAGCTCAGACTGCATTAAGGGTACCTCTATGTCAGCCGTGAAAGCCAGTTCAGCACAGAGAAAGGAAACACAGGGTGGTGGAGCTGATTGCTGACTGAGCTGGGAGGGGCGCAGTTCTGAAGAATTCCGAGGAGCAGGAGAGGTGACCAGGGCTGGCCGGGCAGGGAAGGCTTTGGGAAGGGTGTGTGCCCAGCTGGCCTTCGGCTGGCCAAGGAAGGTTGGCTAGGGCCCCTGGCAGCTTGGGCCTAAAGCCCAGCTGGCTCCAGCCGAAGACAGGGACTTACTAGCTCACAGAGCCAGTGCGGGCGGGCGGTGAGCCTGGGCCCTGGCCACGAGAGCAGCGTGCCGAGCGCCGTGCCACGTGGCTGCCTGTGCAGACGCACTGTCTGATTTTCAGCTTCTGCAGCGGCCTCTCCATGGAGTCAGGCTGCCAGCAGCTGCCAGCGCCCTGCCCCCTTCCTTCCTTTCTGTTCCAAGGAGGACAAGGGTCCCCCAGCTCCAGTGCCTGGCCCAGTTTGAGTCACAGGCCCATCTCCGCATCCAGGAGTGTGCTAGAAACAGCTTGGGCCATTCACCAGTGCCAGCAGGTAAAATGTCAGGGGTTTTCCAAGTCGGTGATTAAACTCAGAGAGCATAAATATGAAGTAGGTTATGAAATAAAACAAAGATGAGCCGGGCGTGGTGGCACGCACCTGTGATCCCAGCAGCTTGGGAGGCTGAGGCAGGAGGATTCCACGTTCAGAACCCACCTTGGCAACTTAACAAAACTCCGTCTCAAAATTAAAAATAAAAAATAAATAAAAGGATGGGAATGTAGCTCAGTGGTTAAGTGCCCCTGGTTCAATCCCTGCTACTAATAAATAAATTAAAACAAAACAAAACAAGAAAAACCCCAACAACAAAACAAAGATAATACTCAAAACCCATCATTCCCTGGGTGGTTGACTACATTTACTATTTTCTTTGCCCTTAGGTTATTTACATTCTTGTTTCTGAGTTCTAGAAATTACATATCACAGTGAGTTGCTGTGCATCTCTTCCCAGCTTCTCATTTGGTGATTTTACATCCACAGCTGGACATCAACCAAGTGGAGATATTTGCATCATGGAAATCAGCAAAGCTATTAATCAGCTCCCCCACCCCCCGCCGCCCGGAGCTGGTTGTTGACCATTTCCCAGCACAGCACTGTGCGTACCATCACTGTGAGGAGGGTCTTGTGCAGGTGCATGTCCACTCTGGCATATGGTTGTCTTATCAGAAGCAAAGGGCACTGCAGATCCAAGACATCAGCCTTCGCAGAGCACTATAGAGGCCAAGGAGGGGCAGACAGTGGTCTTTACAGGCTTCAGCAGAGTACTGTGCTTGGTACCAAGAGGTGAGGGGACGAAGGCACCCCACCCCTCAGCCCAGTCAAGGTCTAGTGAGGGAATAACGTCTGTCCAAGGAATGGCTGAGTGGTGAGCACAGGGCTCTGCAGGAGTGAGGCGCGTGGCAGGGAGCTGACCGTGGCAGCCACGCCCCGTGGGCAGCTGCAGAGCAGACGGGCTGGGCTGGATTCTGGTCCTCCTTCATCTGGCGTTTCTCCTTGGAAATCTCAATGTGTTGATTAGGTGATTGCTCCCCCGAGTCAGCCTTTCCACCAGAATCCTTAAGATGCTCAAACTGTGTGATTATTCATGATCAATTTCTATGCCAACAGCTAAGTTCTCTCAGTTGGAAGTAACAAGTTATATTCCCATGTCTCCAAGGAGAGCAGGACATAGTGAGAGGAGGCAGGGATGAGGCCCTGCCTCTGTCCTGGGCTGACATGGGTGTGGATGGACCCTCGGGTCCAAGAAAGCCATTGGGACACTGTAGTAAGCTCTGAGCAGATGCCTCCTCCACGCCCTGCAGCCTCCATGTGAGACCCAAGAGTGTTTTTAAAAGCACACGCAGAAAATGAAATGCCCCCGGGTCTTCAGTGGACACTTACTGAGCCCCTGCTCTGACCACGAGCTGGGCCTTGGGCTGAGGCGCTGCAGCCAGATGATTGGAGCCTGGTTCTGTCCTGAGGCTGCATTTTCCGGCCCCAGCTCCACCCCTGGCCTCCCAAGTGGAACCCCCTCTTCTCCTGACCCCTTGTGTCCCCACACCTGGCTCACTGTCTCTTCCCTGGCATGCCCCTCTTTCTGTGTGTTCATCTTTCATGGCTAAGTCAGGCCAGAGGAAGCTGGGACAAGGACAAGGAAGTCTAAAGGCAGAGAACAAGTGCCACACTAGCGGAGCGCGGTGATCAAATCAAGGTGTGGATGGAGGCCCTGCCCCGGACGCCCAGGGAGGCAGGTGGACGGGCACCCATCACCCAGGGCCATCGCTCCCACGTCAGCAGTGCTGGGGCCAGACGTTGTCTGAGCTTGCACCTGGAGCGCAGGGAAGGGAGGACCGGTGCACACGTCTCCCTGGACTGATAAGGCTGAGCCTGAACGTGGGAGACTCTCGGCAGCTGCCGTGCTTCTCTGCCCCCCGGGACCCAGGAGGCCTGCTGGTGCTGACAGCTGCTTGAGAAATGAAGATCCAGGGGTGCTCTGCTCTCCCCGAGCACAGCTTCCCG